GGGACATGCGTGTCCTCCACTTGGTAACGGCGCCCAAAGGCTTCCATTAAGGCCGTCCTTGGGTTCCGCCCCCCAACTTCTTGGCACACAGCCCTGCCAGGCTTCGCCTGCATTTGGAGTGTCTGTTCTGACTGAGCAACGGCTTTGAATTCACCGAGGGTCCGCAGCCTCCGTTGCAGAACTTGCGTAACCAAGGTGGTCATATCCTTGATGGCACCCCTGCGTTCGGCCTTTAAGATGTTATCCCGATTGAACGGGTGTTCAAGTCTGAGCGCTGCTTCCAAATGAAATGGGAGTTGGGGTCCTGCAGCCCGTCAGGTATCAGCTGAACCCTCTTCCCATAGCCTGGTTGTTTAGCCGCATGGATTGCAACGCTCCTGCTGTAATCCTCAGCTATTCTGTCAAAAACTCCAACTGGTCTAATCAACCCTTGTGAGGAACAATCCAGTTGGGACAGGTGTTGAAGCTCAGTCCTCACGCCCTTGCCGCCCTTAGCTATCCGTTCGCCTGGGGCTGGAACTCCAAGGCTTTAAACCACTTGACCACTAGCAACTGTGGGCTGCCACCTCAGGTACCTAACTCCCGTGCAATCACAGGGGTCACCCGAGCAGCACTTCCCTATCGGTTGAACGAATTCTTCTCTATTTGTGATCAGGACCTGGAACTTCTTCCTGCAGCTGCCTTCGAATCGTCAACTGTGATAGAAAATCACGTACACGTCGGGCCTTCGACTGAGCTTGATGCAACTCGGACGGACGGACGGTAGCACGAAGCTCCGAAGAGCCTGGCTCAAAAAGACAAAACTGGTAGAAGTGGTAGTTCAGCACATAGGGAAAAAAGTGCCAAATCAAACTCGGCATCAAACACGCCGAGGTCCAAAAGGAAACGCAAAAAGGCGCAATCACCCATTGATTGCATCCTCAACTTCCTCCCAAGAAAGTTGTGTGCATTAACTCACGAAGAGGTGTACTGCTACTCTCCCTGCAGCGCCTTCACCAAGGCGCCCTTTCGCTGTGGTCGATAAGACCGCACTTCCCAATGCTTGGTCTGGGTCTCACGAGTGTTGGGTCCAACAGCTCCCACCTGCGAGATCTGAAACAAGCAAGAGCGGAGTGTGTTGCCCTCCTGGCTGCTGACCAAAGTGATCTCGAATGGGCTCTGCTGCTGCGTGCGGCTCTGCGCCGTCCGCAGCTGCGCCGTCCGCAGTATCATGTCTGACATGATCATATCTGCACGGCCAGATCCCACAACCTGGACAAGCTGAATCAAACCGGCCTTGGTGTCATCTGAGGCTTGCAACACAGGCGGCCTTCAGGGCAGCGCCTTCCAGCAAGGCCTTGAGTCTTGCGGTCCCACGGCTGCAATTGTCCGGGTGGGCCTTGTTCGGCTCGGCTTTGTCTTTCCAAGCTTCTGCGGCACTTTCAATTGCATCATGAATCAAAGGTGGAACAAATAGAAAGATTGTCAAAGCGCTCTTCAATCTCTCCAGTGCCAGGTCGTGGACGGACAGCAGTCTCGTCACGACATCCTCACGGGCCTGCCCACGTCCCGGCCCACGAGCACGTTTAGGCTGTCGGCCCGACATGTGCAAACACAGGGTATACAAAGTAAAGCTTTGAGCAGGACACTGTCAGGGAGCAAGCAAAATGTAGCAGTTGTGCAAAAAGGGCTGCCCCGCTCAGGGGTTCCCGCGCCCCCCACCAGCCAAGGAATCTGCCCCGCTCAGGGGTTCTGCGATTCCAAGGCAAAACTGTCAAAAAAACACACACAATGTACAAGTGCAGTGTGTTACAGAGGTGGTGAGGGACAAACGTCAGCATGTTACAAAAGAGAATGGGTACCGCCAGGTTTGTTGGCTTTAGTGACACGTATACGTAATGCTCTTTCAGTTTGGAATCTCAAATTGCAACCCTGATGTTCACAAACAAACTCCCAGGCAGCACGTTCGGCAGCAGTGACACGTTTTTGATCATGACCAGCATAATAGGTTTTGCCACGCTGAGCACGTTGCACTTGGCGTTGTAAGGCTTTGGCTTGGGCTGCTGCGGGGGCAGCGTTGGCTGCTGCAGGGGCAGCCTTGGGCGCTGCTTTTGGTTTGGCTTTCCCTTGCGCCCGGCGCTGCCGCTGAGCTTCAAGTCTCTGTTCATGGGCAGTTGGCGATCGTGCACGGTGACCTTCAGGAGCTGTCCAGGGTCTCAAGCCAGGGTCGGCATATGCATGGTGATGGGCATGGGATTGCTGGGCATCATGGCACAGAGCTTGTTGGAAACCTTTGTCGATCAAATTGTTCCAGGCATGGTGGTCGCAAGCCTTTTCAGCAAGTTGATGTTCAGAGAACCCATGTGTGCGGCATAAATTAACCCAAACTTCGGGCAAACTGCGACGGTCAGCGGAAATTCGTCCGCCCGCTGATGGAGCAGTGCGCTGGAAGGTACCAACTTGGATTGTACCTGACGCAAATTGCTTGGTATACGTGCGAGATGTGTGCTCTGGCATCCGAGAGACGTGACCAAGCCATCGCATCTGGTCGCGTGCGAAGGCTGCAGACAGCGGAGGCACACCAAGCATCGCACGGAGGTCGTTGTGGTTCATACCTCGGGCTCTCATCTGAGACAATCTGGTTCTGCACACATATCTGCACGCTGTGTTAAAAACAGATTGCATACGCGTTATGTCTCGTTGTCTAGTGGCTCTGGTTTTGGCAGAGTATGCGAGCGGTGCATAAACAAATGACCTGAGGATGCGACCCAATTGTTTGTGGGACAATCGGCTACCTTTGAGAGCTGGGCGAAGTTTGTGCCAACATTTCAAGCCTCTCTGAATGTTGCGATTTACTGCGGCCGAGGGGCCGATGCCCCCACCAACCAAGCAAGTGTCTGCGTTACTTCCAAACACATATTTTTCCCGTTTCCCTGGGTGTTCAGTGGATCCCCATTTTGAAATCGCTTGTGAGAAGACGTCCATACCGCTAGGACCTAACTGGTCTGCTGCGTGAAGTTCTTGGTCAGGACCATGCAAAGTGGTGTCATCAGCAAAAACCGTGTTTTCAACCATGCAAGTGGCAACCTGGCGGCCGTCATTCTTGCGTGTCCACGTGGATTGCAAATTGATGGGAAACTGGTACCTCCATGGAATGCCGCAAGGCAGGTTACGTCTTTCTGCATTTCGGCGGCGGGCATGCTGCGCATATTTAAGGATGACACTGTACAGAACATTCCACGACCAAGGAGACGTGCCGTCTCAGGACCCAATTTGTAGACAAAAAACTGGCTCCGAGGGGCCCTAAGCAATTTGAAAAATCCAAAACCGCTTTGCGTGATCAATTTCAAGATACCCATTTTGTAGCAAACCCAAAACGCACCAAGAACCCAACTTGAAGGGAGTAAAACCACAGAAGGGTTCGCTGCATTTTTTCCGTCTCAAGACTCGAAACCATGAGGAAACAAATTAGCAAGTGATCATGTTGTTCTCTGTGTGTGTGTGTCGGCGCCTTTTGGAAGGAACCACATGATGGGTGTCAAGAACCCAAGCAGCTTTGAAGAGTCTAAAGTCTTAAGTTGCATGTTTGAGGGAGAAAAAAAGAACCACAACGCCAACCCATCTTGTAGGTGCTTGGAAGGAAGCCTGTCATTTTGTAGGGGCATGATATGTCAAGAACTCACAATTTGTTTTTAGTACTTCTCTTGGGGTGTCTTCGGCTTTATGACTATATGCGCAGGAAATAGCAAAACACCAAACCATATTATAGCTGTTTCGACGGGGACCTCTCACTTTGTAGGGGCATGATGGGGGCACAGAAAATGTGTAAATGCTTGCAAATATACTCTGCGCAGTCTGGAGGCCAGACCTTTTGAAGCATGTGAAGCAAGAAAATAAGAACAGCAACCCATTTTGTAGGGTTTTGAAAGGGACCTGTCATTTTGTAGGGGCATGACATGGAAGAGAATAGTTTCACTAGAAATTGTTGCGATCTTTCTTAAGAAGGTAAACAACAACACACGTCCATATTGTAGACGTTCTGGCAGAAGACCTGTCATTTTGTAGGGGCGTGATGGGGGGTGGCTATACAGCAAATAATCAAACACACGCGTTTAAAACATATACTCGCCACACACAAAAGTGCGAGAAGAGAGCGAGATAGAGAAACAAAAACCTGGCAAATCAGGTGATACTTGGGTCTGTCGGTATTTCAAAAATTGAATTATATACAAGTGGAGTACTTTAACAAAAACGCAACATGTTACATGTTTTCCAGAAACCCAATGGATTCACTACAAAATGCAGGGGTTCCAGTCTTGAAGAATCCGCCATGGGACCCGGTAATTTCACTACAAAGTGCCTGGCCTTGGAACGTCCCTTTTTCGACCTAATTTCTATCTTCATCCATGGGCCCCGGTATTTTTGTCTACAAAATGCCTTGCCAGCCAAAGTTGAAGTGGGCCTTGGACCTTTTCACAAGGTGGCCTCACTACAAAATGACCCATAAAAACCAAGTTTGTAGTGGCCTTAAGGCCACCCATTTTGTATGGGAAATTCGCTGGGGGATCCTTTCTGGACAATCTTATCCATTTCCTTTGGAATCCCTTCAGGAAACTCGAAACTTTTCAAAGGGCGAGGGCTGTTCTTTACCCCCTTAATTGGTATTTCTCTAGCCCTACTAGGAGTTGCGCAATTTGGCGCGTGAGCTAGGTCCGCTTCCCCGGTTTCCTTCTCAAGTAGGTCACTGTGCTTATCACGTCCCTACCACGAAGAAGATCCCAAGGGGGAAAAATAAAACTTTTGGGTGAAACAACAACTGAAACATTTCCACCGTGATCAAACACGGGTGGGGGATGAGGTGAAACACCAGGGGAAAGAACCTTCCCATCCCAGCCCTTCCCAGCACGTCCTTTTCTCGGGCTGGCGATGTCTTTGGACTGCCGACTCCCTACTTAGCCTGGTTCGGCTTCTGCTCGGCTCTCGTATTCCTTGCCTTCTCAGCGCGTTTCAGCTTTCGCTTATCAGGCTGCTTTTTTTGGGAAGTCATCCGGAAGCTTGCAAAGGGGCTTGTGGACCTCTTTGCACATCAGGCAACGAATGCCCGTCTTGCCTTCTCCTCCACTTTCGCCTTCCTTGCTGGACGGCTTATATTTGCGTTTCTTGTCCTCGTTGACTGCTCCATCTCTCTTCTCCACTTCACCATCCCCACAGGGTAAGTGGGCGATGACAGGATCCAAGAGGTGCCAGAACTGCATGGTCTCCATCGTTCTCCACATAGTAAGTGACTGCTCACCTTTGCTCAAGTGCCTAAACATGGTGATCTGGAGCTCACACTGTCAAACCTTCGAAGCTCGTTGAGCGTGGGGCTTCGCATTCCGGCAGCCACTGAACAGTTGACCTTGCCGTAGTATCGGTCTGACAGGGTGCTCATTGTCCCATGCTTGGCAATCCCGATGATATCCAAGGAGCGGGCCCGAAGTTCCAGACGAGCTCGCAGATCTTCCATCTCTGAAACCTTCGGGAAATGTTTTTCCGCATCAACGCCTTTCAGCCTTTCCCTTTAGCTATCAGCTTGTCTTCCTGGTCGAGAGTCAACTCAACTGTCCCGCTCTTGGGTATCCTTCTTGCTCTGTGGAGCTTGTCTTCTTCCTCTTTTGACAGGTACGCCTCCCGGGGTAGAACCTCGTAGGTTGCTCCTGGGGTCTGTATAGCCTTGCTGACCTTGTTCAAGGTGAAGAGGGAGCTCCCGATCACTGCTCGCGTTTGGGCATCCACGAGCAATGGCTGCGCCCTCCATGGCCACCGCCTCCACCAATGTGATTTGTCGGTGGGTCTTCCTGCTTGTAGGCACAAAACCCCCAGCACCCTCTCTTGAAGGAAGGTTTCGAAATCCTCCGGCTTAGGGACTTTGAATGCCAGTGAGTTGAAGGAGTATACAGTATACTCCATAATGCTGGAGCAATCACTCTCAGTCACATCGAAGCGCACTGCGGCGCGCATCAACGTGACCGGCAACTCTCCTTGGGACGTCATCTCCATGGGACCGGGCAACCTCAAGGCTGGGGCCGAGACAGCTGCGCCAACATGCAGCTGACGTCACTTGGACGTGGCCATGCCACATGTCCATGCTGGCTCAGCACGCGACTGCTCGCTGCTCTTTCTTTTAAACAAACCTTCAGAATCCGTGCATATGACACATGTGGACACCGGTCTCTGTACAGGTCACTGCGCATCTTCGTGCACAGCGGAACTCACAGTGCTACACTGACAGGTAGAACTCAATACTGCAAAGCTTCGAGCATGCGCCTTCTGCGCGTTTTCCAAAACACCTATTGCACGGCTCAGAAGCTGGGTCCAAAGCCTCGCCAACCTTCACAAAGCAGTAGTCCCTTCGAGCACCACACATATACTGGGATCTTGATCCCGTTCTTCTCAAGCGGCGTCTTCGACGGGAGGTGAAGCTTCGCCGTGGCATGCGGCTTGTCCAACATGACGAACTGATCCGTCATGCCCTCTCTGTCTTGATCCTCATCCTCAAGGTCGCTTGAAGCCTGAGTTGGTTCCCTGGCGGCGACATCTACCACTGAGCCCGCACTCTCATCCGCTTCGGCCTCGACCTTCACCTCTGAACCCTTTTCAGGCCCTGCGAGGCCGGCATCAAAGGAGGATACAAGACGTCTTCACAGGGGCCGACCACCTCCACCATGCTCTCGACCGGGTCGATCGTTGTCTGGATGAGGCTCGGCCTTCCGCGGGTCACCACCCGGGGGAGGACCATTGCCTGCCACACCTATAATTATACATTCACCAAGCCTTCAAAGTCTCCGCCCGCACGTAGGAAGTGCAGACAGGCTTCCTGCCCTTTTTAACACGATGAGGTGGGCTACATCTGGGATGGACCCCTGGGATGGATTCACCGCTGGAGCTCCAGTCGCCCGCCATCCTTACAGCCTTCGGGTCCAACTCAAGATGTTGCATCAAAGAGCTGAAGGTGGCTTTCGCGCCGTGCCACCGCAACAGATGGCGCTCCTCGGCACTCATGCTACCTGAACGCGTCCCTCGCGTTTCAAGACCCACGGGGCGAGACCTCCGTCATGTTGTCCCAGGGCGGTCAGTATGGCCTTCTGCTCCGCCACTACTTCCTTCATCGACATGTCTCCCAGGATAGACTCTGGGATATCCCCGTGGGTACTGGCGCGATGGGCACTCGACCTCTCCGTGCCTTCGGGGGTCGCTACAGGGGACTCCGGCTCTGGAGTGCAACTCCTCCCCACGCTTGGACCCCGACCATCGACGAGGGCAAGGGGATCCGCTCTCTCGTCTCCTCGCCGAATCGCCTCCGCCAGCTTCGGAGCGGCCTTCCAGCAGCGAGGCTATCTCGTAACGAGCAGCCCACGCCCCGGCTGCCAACACCCCTTTGGTTGCTCTGAAGACGGGCCTGATCTCCGTCTCGGGGTCTGATTCCTCCCTCGCAGGAGGTGCAAGGGCTGGTTTCCCAAAGCAGACTCCGACGCTCCCGGACATGCCAACAGGGCCTTTGGTTAAGACGGGCCTGATCTCCGTCTCGGGGTCTGATTCCTCCCTCGCAGGAGGTGCAAGGGCTGGTTTCCCAAAGCCCCCTTCGGGACAGACTCCGAGGGAGCGTACTCAGCCCCGGATAGTCATATCTATCCTTGCCTCTCTCCCCCCGGGGCATTGGAGAAGAAGACGTTTGGCGAACCCGGACTAGCTCAGGTTCTTGAGCCAAGATGGCACCGCAAGCGGCCACCATCCTTTTAGTACTACGTACACTTCCCGCAACCAAAGCAAAAATAGGCTAACGTGCTTTCGTGCCCGCCCATGCCAAAGAAAATGCCCACCCATGCCAAAGAAAAGCCCATAAACACAATCCGCCGGCCTGCCAGCGTGTCTTGTGGATCTTGCTTGTTCGTAGTTTTGTGCTGTCTGTTTCGTCTTTGTCTTTGTCTAAACTTTCCCCTTGGCGCGGATTTTTGCCTCGTCTAACTTGAACCCATCCCCCCCCTCCCCCCTCCCCCTAGCTTTATCTTTCCTTACGCTGTGGTGGGCTCAACTCTGCCCACGCCTCGTTTAACACCGGCTTGGTTTTGCACATCTTGCTGTCATTTCGACGGCTGCTATCTATGTATGTATGTATGTCTGTCTGTCTGTCTGTCTGTCTGTATGTATGTATGTACATACGTACGTACGTACGTACGGACGGACGTAGGTATGTAGGTATGTAGGTATGTAGGTATGTAGGTATGTAGGTATGTAGGTATGTAGGTATGTAGGTATGTAGGTATGTAGGTATGTAGGTATGTAGGTATGTAGGTATATGTAGGTATGTAGGTATGTAGGTATGTAGGTATGTAGGTATGTAGGTATGTAGGTATGTAGGTATGTAGGTATGTAGGTATGTAGGTATGTAGGTATGTAGGTATGTAGGTATGTAGGTATGTAGGTATGTAGGTATGTGTATGGATGTAGGTGTAGGTATGTAGGTATGTAGGTATGTAGGTATGTAGGTATGTAGGTATGTAGGTATGTAGGTATGTAGGTATGTAGGTATGTAGGTATGTAGGTATGTAGGTATGTAGGTATGTATAGTCGCGGACAGGTTATATGCAGATTTTCATCTGCTTATCACACCCCCAAAACCCTCAAAAACGCTCAAATAAGGATCTGCTAGACTGGGGTACCCTTAAATCAGACCTGTAATAAGCAGATTCCCATTATGTGGGAATTGGTGAAATCGGGAATCTGCTTATTGCAGCTGCTTGCACAATTCAAATTCGACTAAAGGCAACACGAAATATGGGAATGGTGTGCGTATTTTTGTCCTTGAGAAATATCATGAAAATGCATGACTGCAGAAAAAGACAAGTAGAAATAGAAAGGCAGAGAAGTAGAAAAGCAGCGAAGCAGGAAGAAAAAGGAAAAAAACAGGGAAGCAGAACAGAGAGAAGCAAGAAAAGCAGAGAAGCAGAAAAGCAGGAAAAAAACAAAATAGCGGAAAAGCAGGAAAAGCATACAAGCAGAGAACAAAAGAGCAAACACGCAGAAAAGCAGAGAAGTAGAAAAGCAGAGAAGTAGAAAAGCAGAGAAGCAGGAGCAGAAGAAATTCAAGAATCCAAAGAAAATACCTGAACCTGCTCAAAAGAAACCTAAAATCAATAGCCCTCCATAAGAAAGGACTGCGACAAAAGCACAGGCCCAAAATCAAGCCCCAAATCGCACATTTATTTTTGAAAGGCATTCTGAGAGAAATTGCTAGAAAATCACAAAACACCAGCCCGAGGAACCTACAAATGCCTGAAAGCAAGCATTGTTCTCTGCTGCACAAACTGTAATAAGCAGATTTGGAAATCTGCTTATTGCAGCTGCTTGAAAGTTGAGACTTCTTTGGGCAACAAACTCAAAATAGCCGGGCCACAGCCCAGAAATTGAATCAGACTAGAATATACCAGAATAATTTGTTTAAACAGTCTCAATCAATCACAGCACAGTATAGAAGGGCTGCCGTTTCTAGGAGCCCAAGGCAGTGTCAAAAGCGTTCGTTTGTAAAGCAGTCTTAAGTCTTAAGGGAGTTTTGGAATGAGAAAGGGTTGTGACAAAAGGACGGGCCCAAAATCAAGCCCCAAATGTATGTTTAAACGGCATTCCGAGAGAAATTGCCGGAAAAAAACACAAAAAAAACAGCCCGAGGAACCTACACATGCCTGAAAGCATGCACTATAGTTGATCTCCACTACACCTTGGCTGTAGTAAGCAGATTTGGAGATCTGCTTCTTACAGCCGCTTGAAAATTGGGACTTCGTTTGGTGGGGCAACAAATTCAAGAAATAGCCGGGCCACAGCCTAGAAACTGAATTAGACTATAATAGAATGGTGTGTTTAATCAGTCCTCATCAATCGTCACAGCACAGTATAGAAGGGCTGCCGTTTCTAGGAGTCCAAGGCAGTGTCAAAAGCGTTCATTTGTAAAGCAGTCTCAAGGGAGTGTTGGAACAAGAAAGGGTTGCGACAAAAGCACGGACCCAAAATCAAGCCGCAAATGTATGTTTGAAAGGCATTCTGAAAGAAATTGCCGGAAAAAACACAAAACACCAGTCCCAGGAACCTACAAATGCATGAAAGCATGCATTATAGTTGATCTCCACTACACCTTAAACTACGCTGACTGTAGAAAGCAGATTTGGAAATCTGCTTATTACAGCTGCTTGAAAGTTGGGACTTCCTGGGGCAACAAATTCAAGAAATAGCCGGGCCACAGCCTAGAAACTGAAGCAGACTAGAATAATGTGTTTAACAGCGGAAGGGCTGCCGTTTCTAGGAGTCCAAGGCAGTGTCAAAAGCGTTCGTTTGTAAAGCAGTCTTAAGGGAGTTTTGGAATGAGAAAGGGTTGTGACAAAAGGACGGGCCCAAAATCAAGCCCCAAATGTATGTTTAAACGGCATTCCGAGAGAAATTGCCGGAAAAAAACACAAAAAAAACAGCCCGAGGACACCTACATTTGCTTGAAAGCATGCATTATTATAGTTGGTTGATCTGCACTACGCCTTAAACTACCCGGACTGTAGTAAGCAGATGTGGAAATCTGCTTATTACAGTTGCTTGAAAGTTGGGACTTCCTGGGGCACCAAATTCAAGAAATTGCCGGGCAGAAACTGAATCAGACTAGAATATACCAGAATAATTTGTTTAAGCAGTCTCAATCAATCGTCACAGCACAGTATAGAAGGGCTGCCGTTTCTAGGAGTCCAAGACAATGTCAAAAGCGTTGAATTGTAAAGAAGCTTTGAGGAATAATTGCAACAAGAAAGGGTCACCTGAAAACCAAGAGCCACAAGAAAGGGTCGCTGCAAGACCAAGAGCCACACATTGTTTCTTTACTCTGGGCTGGCAAATTTCTAGGCCCCTTTACATGATACCCACCAGAAACATATTGTACACTGAATGGAGTAGGTCCACTCAGACTGTAAGAAGCAACTCATTTTCATTGTATACGGGGCACCTGATCAATTTGCTCGTGTCGGGGA